AGGCGGACGAGAACCGAACTGGATTCTGTAGCCTCTTTCTACAGTACGCAGGACCCATTGAGACACATTTGGCAGTAGCTTCCATGCTGCTAAATAATCTACTAAGGGAATCAGTCTCTCGAGACTGATCTCTGGTGTGCCCAGAACGGCTAGTTCGGTGCCCTGAAGCGGCACACCGGCAGGGGACGCCGAACTAGCTGCTCATGTAGAGGTAGTAGAGGTAGCGAGCCTCTTAGTACCGCTACGTTTCCGGGCGGTAACTGAGAGAAGCGCTCCGCTGCGCCCGCTGCGCCCTGGTGTGAACCTCTCTTCCCCAGAGGGGCCTGCCCTCCGAGGTCCTGAGCCACAGCATCAGGACTCTCATAGCTGAAGTCTCCTATTGAAAACGACGGCCCTCAGACCCACGTCGTCTGCTAGGAAGACTAGACTGCTCGGTGCTCGGGGCAGGACCCATCTAGATACCTCCGTAGAGGTAGCGAGCCTCTTAGTACCGCTCGGGCGGTAAGCGGTAACTGAGAGAAGACACGGCAGGGTTGGCAGACCGACCTCCTGAGGGCACTGAGGAGAGACGGGCACCGTGTAATTCGGTGTACACCGCTCTTCCCCAGAGGGAGCTGGCCCTCAAAAAGTCCTAGGCCTTAGGCGTCAGGACATTTACGACAAAGACTATCCAGCGAGAATGACGGTCCGCAGACCCGCCTTCTGCTAGAAGCCTTCGGCCTGGGAGCGCCACTCTGACTCTAGACTCTGCGGAGTACGAGAAGTGAGGCCCCCAGAATGAGGGGCTGGAACACGGTGGGTTGGGACTGCTCCGCCCAGCAGCCCCTGCTAACCGCCTCAACCTCCTCAAAGGAAGAGAGGTTGACGCGTGCTCTACTCGAGAAATTTATATCCCAATAGCCCCCTGTGTATCTAACTTCTCATAGTCAGACAAATACTTCATTTTATTCCTCAGAATTAAATGCAATCAAACAACCAGACGAGTAAATACGGTCTAGTGTAGTAAGGTTCACATCAAAAACCGAAATGATGTAATATGTGCGCTGCGCGCGAGCCATTCAGTCACATGAACAACATCAATCTCCTTGGCAAACAAACGAGCTCTAAATCTAGCGAACACGGGTGGACATAGGAAGAGCCGTCTCCAACCCGTCTGCTAGATCATGAGCGATCTCCGCGTTCTCAGTCGCCGCCGTGCCTCAGCAGCAGCGGGACCGCAATCGCAAGATCACAGGCACGGACACACTACTCGGAGCGTGCCCGGCGAGAGCGGAGCGTTCAACAGCGTGTGTGTGTGTGTGTGTGTGTGTGTGTGACCACTGATTAAGTTGTCTAATTGAACATTTTAAAATCTGTTTGTAATTCTCTTCCAGTTTTTAGTGACTTAATTCTTAAAACTTGTCGATATTGTGTTATTTTTCTCTTCTGTTTTATTTTGTTTCTCATTGCTGTTATTTGTTACTGTCTATATTGTTTTGACCGTTAATGATAGATAGATAGATAGATAGATAGATAGATAGAACAAAATAAAAGTGATTACCAATTTACACAAATTACAAAAAAAAATAAAATAAAAAAAATGCTTAATGTTCTAAAAAAAGATTGGAATGTTTAGTAATAATTGCCCAGTGATTTTATAAGTCAGTGCAAAATATCTGAGGACAACAGCAACTAATATGACATTAAAAAAAATGAGTTTAATATTTTACCATGTTTAATATTTGCTTTGGGTTAAATATGTTTAATGATTTTGGTGATATTTTTCAGATGTTTGGTTACTGTTATAAACGAGTGACTCAAGTTTACCATGTCATTATAACAATAATGTGTGTGGTGTATTTCTTTCTTATTCAGCACTACAGAATTCAACTCAAAATAACACAGTAATTAAGAACAATATATTCAGTGAGACCAAATGACAGGCTTGCATTTTAGAAAGCCAGTGCAAAATACCTAAGAACATGGGCAAAATGGCAGTTAATATGATTTATGTCTTTAAAAATGTTGAGGTTACTATTTTACCATGTTTAATATTACATTTGTTGTATGTGTATGAGAGCAGCAGAGAACAATCTTTCTATGTTTACAATTGTGAGTTTAATATTTTTTTTTTTACATTTTAATATGTATCTCTCTGAACACTGAGCATAATAAGTGTTCATTTATGAGGGCAGAACAGATGTCTGAAAAAATGACCTTAATGCACATGTATTGCTTTATCAATCATTATAAACCATTGGATCTTCTTGAATGAACTTGAAAAGTGACAGCATCTAGATGTTTTTATTTACATTATACAACCAAAATATATGTTTAAAAGATTGAAAATTACAAGTTATTTCTTCCAGGTCTCTGTTGGGAGGTAATAACCTTGCTCTGTCCCAGATTATAGCTAAACTGGATGTGGGTTAATGCTGGGGCTCAGATACCTGGCCGTCCCCCATCCTCAGGACACTCTTCAAGGGTAGCCTATAGAGGGAGGATGCTGGGAACATGCGTTGTGATTGTGGTCTTTAAGTCGGTCATTGAGGTACCAAAAAACATGCTTGCTTTAAAAAATAAATAAATAAAGCAAAATAAGATTTAGACTCTGAAAATAAAGTTTTTTTTTTTCCCTCGAAGTATAACATGAGTAAAGTTTGAGAACAAACTTTGAGGTTGACTTGAGAAAGCTGAGCCTGAACATTTGAAGCAGTTGTAAAGGTTGAAGTTTGAAAGTTTAGATAGATAGATTAGTTAGATATTGATATCATGTTGCTAGCATGATTTAGCACATTGCTAACATGATTTAACATGTGGTTAGCATGTTTTAGCATGATTAACATGTTACCATGTTGCTAACGTGTTTCTAGCATGATTAGCATGTTGTTAGCATGTTTCTAATATGATTAGCATGTTGGTAACATGTTTTAACAAGATTAGCATGTTGTTAACATGTTTCTTTCTTGCATGACTAACATGTTGTTAGCATGCTAGAAAAGATATAGTACACCAAGTCAGACAAGTCTTAAGGTCTGACCCAAGTTTGGTGGTTGTACTTTTAAAGCTGTACTTTTAACATTTTGGCTCAGAAGAAGAAGAAGAAAAAAAGAAGAAGCTTAAATAGTAGATCAGAAAGTTGACTCTCTCAAGCCAATTTAAATAATTCTTCTGATGGTACATCGACTTCTAATAAGACAAATGGCCTTTGTTTCTTTCCTACAATCTCCCCCAAACGTCTGCTCTGGGAGTTTGAAAGTTTGCAAAAAGGGCAGACTGCCTTATGGCAGCAACAATTCTGCGTCGGAATTCGCATACTCTCTAATAGTCCAGGTGATATGTGAAAATAATGTTAACTTTTTCATAAAAGCATGAAACTTGTTACACTTGTATAGTTTGCGGCCCTAACCATTTTCAGAAATGGAGCCATCGCAAAAACTCCTCGTGGTTACCATGGCGACCATTTTACTTTCCGCCATAACCAAATTATGTATTTTGTGTCATATCTCCTGAACCAAACATGATAGCACAGAAAATTTTATGTCTACCCCTATGTTTGGATGGTCAAAGATTACAATGATACCATATACAGCAACATAAACTGCTCAGGTGAAGAGGTAATGGTGAAATCAGCAATGTGAGAAGGAAATCACAGTATGATGGTACATCGACTTCTAATAAGACAAATGGCCTTTGTTTCTTTCCTACAATCTCCCCCAAACGTCTGCTCTGGGAGTTTGAAAGTTTGCAAAAAGGGCAGACTGCCTTATGGCAGCAACAATTCTGCGTCGGAATTCGCATACTCTCTAATAGTCCAGGTGATATGTGAAAATAATGTTAACTTTTTCATAAAAGCATGAAACTTGTTACACTTGTATAGTTTGCGGCCCTAACCATTTTCAGAAATGGAGCCATCGCAAAAACTCCTCGTGGTTACCATGGCGACCATTTTACTTTCCGCCATAACCAAATTATGTATTTTGTGTCATAGCTCCTAAACCAAACATGATAACACAGAAAAGGTAATGTCTACCCCTATGTTTTGATGGTCAAGGATTACAATGATATCATATACAAAAACATAAACTGTTCAGGTGAAGAGTTAATGGTGAAATCAGCAATGTGAGGAGTAAATAACAGTATCTGAGTATCACAGTATCACAGCATTTACAATAGTCCACATTATGGCTATTATTTTTTTCTTTCTTTGATAATTAACTAATATTTTATTCAGTAATACATTAAAAGATTGTTTTCAAGAATACTATCATATAAAAAAATCATCTCAGGTAAGTGTATTTTTCCTTACCTCTCAGGCAGAGTCAGGTAGGCGGTAGTATGTTTCCAATATATTCTTGTTCTCTCTCAATAATGCTCTAACATCCAGTGGTGTATAAAGTACCTGAAAGCCATACTCAAGTAAAAGTACAGATATCTTACCAGGAAATGACTTTGGTAGAAGTTGAAGTCACCGTTTAGAATATTACTTGAGTAAAAGTCTTAAAGTATGTGATATTTATTGTACTTAAGTACAAAAAGTATTTTTTTAATCTTAAATGTACTTAAGTATTGAAAGTAAAAGGTACAAGTAATGCAAAATGGAAAAGAAGCAAATAAATATATATAAAAAAATATTCTGAGGGTGCTGAGCCTGTGGCTGTTCTGTACGCAAACATCAATGTCTTGAACTTGATGTGAGCCGCAACAGGTAGCCAGTGCAGGGAGATAAAGAGAGGAGTGACGTGGGCCATTTTGGGAGGAGAAACCATGTGCTTGTATAATGGGTCCCAGTGATGTAGTGTATATGGTGAAGAGGAGGGGTCCAAGACCTGATCCCCGAGGAAACCCTGTGGCCAGCTGATGTTCTTTGGATACCTCTCCCCCCCAGGAAACCCTGAAAGATCTACCTGTGAGATAAGATTCAAACCAGTAAAGTGCAGATCCTGTGATGGCAGACAGGATAATCTGATGATTCACAGTGGCAGAGAGATCCAGCAGAATAAGAACTGATGATTTGGAATCAGCTTTCGCAATCTGCAGGTTTATACTGACCGACAGCAAAGCAGTCTCAGTTGAATGGCAGCTGCTGAAACCTGATTGGTTAACGTTCAGTTGGTCATTCTGTGAAAGAAATAATGTAACTGTGTCTATAAAGGTGTGAACCAAATGGTCCATTCCATTGGAATAACAAAGGAACAGCATTCCTCAGGAACGTCTTGTAGATTGCAGGATCTCCAGCGGGAGGTCCTAACAGTATCTGTTGTTTCTAGCCCTTTTGTCTTTAGGTATAAAAATCTATCCCACAGACAGAACTTTGGGAGAAGCTAGGATTCATACAAGGGTTAAGACTGTTTGAAGGAAGACATGCAAAACATTGCTATTGAAGAACTGCTACACTACCATCTTCAATAAATTCTTCTCCCCACAAAAATTTTGGTCAAGCCTACTTAATTTTTTGTATTAGAGAAATCTAGTACATTGGTGATGTGGCACATTGGTGGTGGTTGAGGAGATTTCTATGTAAAGCGCTTGGAGTACCCAGAAAAGTACTATAAAAATGTAACAAATGAATAATTAATTAATTAAAACAATCTTTTATTGTACTATTGAAATTAATTAATTTGGTTATGGCGGAACGTAAAATGGTCGCCATGGCAACCACGAGGTGTTTTTGTGATGGCATCATTTCTGAAAATGTTCAGGGTCCTAACCTGTACAATTGTACCAAGTTTCATGCTTTTATGAAAAAGATAACATATCACCTCAAATTTTGCACATACCTGTATCACCTGGACTATACAGGTGCATCTCAATAAATTAGAATGTCGTGGAAAAGTTCATTTATTTCAGTAATTCAACTCAAATTGTGAAACTCGTGTATTAAATAAATTCAATGCACACAGA